TTTAGCTCTCATTACATTTCTCCAGTTAGGTTGATTAAACATATATTACTTTAGACCTCTCTCTCTCTCTCTCTCTCTCTCTCTGTGTGTGTGTGTGTGTGTGTGTGTGTGTGTGTGTGTGTGTGTGTGTGTGTGAGAGAGAGAGAGAGAGAGAGAGAGAGAGAGAGAGAAATAAAATTAAATTTCATATTGACATATTTTTCCTCACCATGCTTCTTTATGCGGCTATTAAATAAAAGGGGGTGGGGGCTATCTGAGAAATGTTATAATGAAAAAACGGGGAGAACTTTTCTATGTATTATGAACAGTGAAATCAATCAATTACACTGGGAATACGGTGAATAATTATGCAACCTATAATCAGCCATTTATCCATTGCGATGCTAATTTATACTAACACAGTACAATGGGCGAATCTTTGTATTTATGCATTACTTTTGCTTATTAAACACTCAAACACCAGGAAGATACTGAATATCATCACTGTCCATAACATAAACGGTGTTATTCTAAGCCAAACTGAGTACTTATTTTGTCGTTTATATGCCTTTAAAACCAACATCCTCAACCAAGAAAGGCAAATTAGAAATCTGAAAGCCAGTTTTTTTTTCTCCTTCAGCGCCTTTGGAAGGCCATGTTTATCTCTGTTCCTTTTTCAGGCTGGAATATGCTCCCTTCTATGGAATGAGCATCAAATTGTTTCATTTTGCTTGCAGAAAGTTTGTTAAGGAGCTTCGAACACATATATTAGAGAGAAAAACAAGAATGGCAGCAAAAGCAACAACAACAATAAACATCAACAATCGCTCAACAGCTTTTCGGAGTAAGAAGACAAGAAAATTTTCCCCTTCAGAGGGAAAAAATATATTTTACTTTGAAACTGAATTTGGGAGAGAGAGGGGTCATACTGTCTGCCATCTTACCTCCTCAGAAAGGCAACAGTGTATGGTCACATTTTATCCATCTAAGCTTAAGAAAGATATTTTTATCCCCATGATAAAATCAGCATATTCACACAGGGTGCTTTGCTTTGTTCTTTCCTGACTTATTTTCCTGATATTTTAACACCAAATGAAAGGACTTTTTGTTCCTCTATTACGAAATCTTGTACTTGTTACTTGTGGCTGGGGTTTCTCTGTTAAGTTTTCCAGTATGAGCCAGCTCAACCCGGCATATCATATACAGAATAATGAAAGTAAGTGTGTGTGTGTGTGTGTGTGTGTGTGTGTGTATGTGTATATACAGTATATTCAGAGTAGACAAGAAAAGGGGAAATGAATAAATACAATAAATAATATAATCTTTTGATTTGTTTGGGTTCCGCCCCCCCCTTCTGCCAGTATAGAAGACTGTTCTTTCAATTTCATCCTTGTTCTCTCTCCACCACAACCACCATTGAGACCATTACACGACAACAACTTGTTAATCCTCAAACTAAGCAGAGTCATTTTCTTCGTCAACAGTTCCTTAGCTTTCACAGATCTCTTCAGTGATGGGAGAGGGGGGAAAAGCAGATAATAATCCAGCCTTGTGTTCAGAAAGTCACAATACGACTTGGCACTCCTTGCAAGTGATAGCCCACCCTGGATTTTAGGATGTAAAATGGCTATTAAATTTTAAACCTGAGCTGTTTGGGTTCTTAAGGAGACACAGCCAGCCTTCCAAGGCTCCCTTTTATGGCTTTGTTTTTCAGTGCACCTTCAGGGAACATAATACGCTATAACTTCTCTGATTTAATACTCAGAAGTAGTGGCCAGGATATGGCAACAGGAGATTTCCATAGAAGTTACTAGGCTATAATGTTCGCTTCCCAGTTGCCATCAACATGCCGGTTGACTCAGCTCACACACGTACAGCTATCGAAACATAGAAATAACAGCTGCCAAGTACAGATCTGTTTGGAAAGATTCTGGGCTCTGAAAGCTTCGATCCCTCCAGAAACGTGAGGAACACGAAACAGCCAGGGCTGGCACTTGAAGGAAAATGGAGCGGGAGAGAGGAGAAGAGAAGGAAGGAGTGAAAGGAAGAGCGTCCTGAAAACTCGTAGTTGACACTCCTGCAAACTATTGCGGCCTTAACTTGAATTCTCGGAGAGGGACCCCTTTGTCCGCCTCCGTAGCACCGTTAGCCAGAAACAAGAGCAGCTGGGAAAATTCACCTACGTCCCTAAGTAGCTGTATGTGCTTAGGGAGTAGTAAAGAGACGGGAGAGAGGGCTTGGCAAACCTGCTTCCATCCCTCCCCAGTCATGACCCCCTTTCTCTCTCCTCCCCTCTTTCTATTTTAAGAAAGAAAGAAAGAAAGAAAGAAAGAAAGAAAGAAAGAAAGAAAGAAAGAAAGAAAGAAAGAAAGAAAGAAAGAAAACGTTATGTGAAACAATTTGCTTTTTTTTGGCATCTCCCTCTGTGTTAAGAACCCGTCTCTCGGCACTGGTCTTGCTGCGTGTGAATAACTTGGGGGGGGAGAAGGGGGGAGAGAAAGAAGGTTGCCCTTGATGAAGACTAACTGACGTAATTAAGGCAGTTTCTTGTTGCCGAGTTAAAAGCCAACCCCAACAACATGAAACTACCTAAACCACGTATCAGCTGCATGAAAGGGCGGAAGATCCATACTCATTTCTTTCAGAAAGGAGGGAATTTTTTTAAAGAAAGAAAGAAAGAAAGAAAGAAAGAAAGAAAGAAAGAAAGAAAGAAAGAAAGATTCTGTAGATAGATAGATAGACAGACAGACAGATTTCAGCTCCTTTGTGGGTTTTGGTGTAATGTCACTCGCGCCTGACCAAAGTCAGAAGCCAAGAAATGCCACCGCCAAGCCATCGACCCCAAGAAAACATTCTTCAAATTAAGCAACATCTTTAATCTCTTCATTAAGATTCCCCCCCCTTTCCTTCTCCT